AGTCCTACTGTTTTTTCAGATAATTTGGATAACAACTATTCTCTTAGTTATGCAATATTTTGTTATTATGCATTTAAATTAGGTTAATTTATGTTCTATTTTACACTTCTGTAATTGGATATGAAATTGGTAAAAAATTAAAAATAGACTAATTTAGAAAATTTAGTCCGCGGATTGGATCCGATCCGTAAACTAAAGGATTGGTGGCGGCTTCAATATTTTCTAATCCGTTGTGAGCGAATCGGATTAGGAATGATGTCTAATCTGATCCGTGGCCACCCCTAATAGCAAGGTATTAAGGGTTAAGGGAAAAATATAAAAAGTATTAAAGGTACTATTTTGTCCCTTTTAAAAGGATTAGGTATGAATATAAGGAATAAGTGCAAAAAACACCCATAAAGTATACTTTTCATAGCATTTTTATCTCTTATTTAAAAAGGTGTGCAAAAAACACCCCCACTCTTTTCAATGTGTGCGAAAACACCTCTCAATTTATATAATGCCCATTTTACTTTTTTACTCTTCAAAAAAGTCCCTACTAAACCTTACACTCCACCCCCAAAACCGCAAGCACTAGGCAAGCACCGACCACGAAACTGGGTCTTGATTGGCTCCGGCGGTTTTGTTTGTATCGGTGCTTGGGTAGCCGTTTTCTCGCGGTGGAGGTTGCGGACGGCAGGGAAGAGGCTGCCGGAGAGGTCTGCGTTCACAAGGTTGGGTTACTTTCGAAAATGTAGAAAGTTGAGATTCTCTTGCTCTAACATTTTGGATCTATCACAGTGGCATTTCAACACTAAACCAACCGTTCTCAACCACAATTCCTCTATTTATTTGTCTTATTAGTTGGTATTTGAATCGAAATTATCCACAAAACCCATCCCCCACATGATGAAACCAACCCAACCACCGTCTTTAACTCCACCTAATCCTCTCTCTCAGCCTTAATTTTATCCAGCGAGTTAAAAGTCCTAATGTCTAGAGGAGTGTGAGAAAATCTCATCAACACACAAATATATACACACTCAAGCAATTTTCTCTCTCAGTACTTCCCAAGTAGTGAAAGAATTATTATTATTATTTTTTTCCCTGATTCATTCTCTCACATCCAAAACATATATGAAACTATAACGTTCTGATAATGGAAAAACCCAATTCTCAAACCAATTCATTCAACAGGGACTATGTGAGTTATGATGTAATGGAACTAATTCTCTCTTACCTCCCAATTCAGTCAATTAATGTTCGTGCCTCTACAATTTGCAAGCTCTGGCACTCGATCATCACCTCTGTATCTTTCTCCACTCACGTCTCCGCTGTGAAAAAGCCCTGGTTCTTCCTCTACGGCCAGAACAACATCTTCTTGAAGAACAACCAAGCCTTCGCTTTCGACCCTGAAACCGATTAGTGGATCAAATTGCCTACCACTCTCTTCCTCCTTCATCGGCTCCGGCGGCTTCTGCTTCATCACCACTTCCTCCACCGCCGCCAAATTCAGCTTCTCGCCTATCCTCAAAGGCTCCGGCGGTCTTGCGGGTATTGGTGGTTGGTTGTTGTTTGGTTGATCAATTTGTTGATGAATTTTCTGGGTTATTGATTACAGTAGGCCGAATTGATAAATTAGTTTGTCATCTTCTCTTCCTCTGGCGAACTGGGTGTGGTTTCCTTTTAGTTTTCGGTCCTTTCCGGCCACGGTTTAATTGGGTCTGCTTGTGGGTTGTTTGTATGGGTTGGTGTTGGCATTTTAGTCATTTTACAAAATATTAATTTTTATATATCTATACTATTATTAAATATCAATATTTATTTATTAATTGATATAAATTCTATAAAATTCAAAATTAATTAATATAAAATTAAAATTAATTCAAATTAACAAAATATAAAAAAAATTCAATTCAAATTACAAATCCCACATTAATTTTAAATAAAAAAGATTACATAAAAACCTCCTATAAAACTATAGAGCTAAATAAATAATAATCACACTTTCTCGACCTTTTGGCTAAGATCAAGTGTAGTACTATTGACTAACTTTTTTTAGTCTTTTGGCTAAGATCAAGTGTTTTAATTCAAATTACAAAGTCCCACATTGATTTTAAATAAAAAAAAATTACATGAAAGCCTCTTATAAAACTATATATACTATTATTAAATGTGCAAAGTGTTTCAGTATTTATTTATTAATTAATATCAATTCTATAAAACTCAAAATTACCTAATATAAAATTAAAATTAATTCAAATTAACAAAATATTAAAAGAGTTTAATTCAAATTACAAAGTCTCACATTGGTTTTAAATAAAAAAGATTACATGAAAGCCTCCTATAAAACTATAGAGCTAAAGAAATAATAATCACACATTCTCGACCTTTTGGCTAAGATCAAGTGTAGTACTAAATTTTTTTGGGTCAGCCTTTTAGCTAATTTTTCTTAGTCTTTTGGCTAAGATCAAGTGTTTTAATTCAAATTATAAAGTCCTACATTGATTTTAAATAAAAAAGATTACATGAAAGCCTCCTATAAAACTATAGAATTAGAGAAATAATAATCACACATTCTCGGCCTTTTGGCTAAGATCAAGTGTAGTACTAAATTTTTTTGGGTTGGCCTTTTGGCTAACCTTTCTTGGTCTTTTGGCTAAGATCAAGTGTAGTACTACTTTTTCGGCCTTTGTGCAAAGAGTTTCAGTATTTATTTATTAATTGATATAAATTCTATAAAACTCAAAATTACCTATTAAAATTCAAATTAATTCAAATTAACAAAATATAAAATAACTGAAATTCAATAAAAGTAAATCTAAATAGAGAATGAAATATATAATTTATTTCAATAAATACATAACAATAATTCTACATCAAAATATATCAATAATTGAATTTCAATATTTCAATATATTAACTTAATTAAAGCAGAAAATGTATAACAATTAAAATAGTGACTTAACCAAATTAATTTGGAATTATAATTTTAATTATTGATTGCACTTAATTTGTATGATCATTACCAACAAATAATTTGTTTCATTATATTTATATTTTGAGTTTATCCGAGAAAGAGTTTCTACCACATAAGAGTTTCTATCATGCACTATTTTTAGAAATAGTTTCTATCACATATTATTATTAAACTTAATTTGTATGATCATTACCCAAAAATAATTTGTATCATCATATTTATATTTTGAGAATATCATATTTTGGGAAAGAGTTTCTATCACATACCCTATTATTAAAATTACGACTTGTACGTACAAAAAGTAAAAAATAACAATGAAAATAATGTCTTAATCAAATTAATTTAGAATTATGACATGATTTTAATTATTGATTGTACTTAATTTGTATCAAAAAATTAATTCGTATAATCAAATTCATATTTAGTTGTTTTCATATATATTTTTTTATATTGTTGGCTGTTTTGGATCTTTTTATTGAAAAATTTTAGTTGTTTTAATAAATATGCAAAGTGTTTCAGTGTTTCTATTTCAGTATTTTAGTATTTATTTATTAATTGATATAAATTCTATAAAACTCAAAATTATCTAATGTAAAATTAAAATTAATTCAAATTAACAAAATATAAAAGAATTTAATTCAAATTACAAAGTCCCACATTGGTTTTAAATAAAAAAAATTACATGAAAGCCTCCTATAAAACTATAGAGTTAAAGAAATAATAATCACACATTCTCGGCCTTTTGGCTAAGAGACAAAGTGTAGTACAATTTTTTTTTGGGTCGGCCTTTTGGCTAACCTTTCTTGGTCTTTTGGCTAAGAGATTAAATGTAGTACTACTTTCTCGGCCTTTATACAAAGAGTTTCAGTATTTATTTATTAATTGATATAAATTCTATAAAACTCAAAATTACCTAATAAAATTCAAAAAAAATTCAAATTAACAAAATATAAAGTAAGAAATACTGAAATTCAATAAAAGTAAATCTAAATAGAGAATGAAATATATAATTTTTTTATAAAAATACATAACAATAATTCTACATCAAAATATATCAATTATTGAATTTCAATATTTCAATATATTAACTTAATTAAAGCAAACTTAATTTGTATGATCATTACCAACAAATAATTTGTTTCATTATATTTATATTTTGAGTTTATCTTATTTTGAGAAAGAGTTTCTACTCCATAAGAGTTTCTATCATGCACTATTTTAATAAATAGTTTTTATCACATATTATTATTAAACTTAATTTGTATGATCATTACCGAAAAATAATCTGTATCATCATATTTATATTTTGAGAATATCATATTTTGAGAAAGAGTTTTTATCACATACCCTATTATTAAAATTATGACTTCCACGTTCAAGAAATAAAAAATAACAATGAAAATAATGTCTTAATCAAATTAATTTAGAATTATGACATGATTTTAATTATTGATTGCACTTAATTTGTATCAAAAAATTAATTTGTATAATGAAATTCATATTTAGAGTTTATCATTTTTTTTATATATATATTCCTGGCTGTTTTAGATCTTTTTATTGAAAAATTTAAATTGTTTTAAAACTCTTAACAATTTTTAGAATTCTTTTACTATTAAAGTTCTTGACGATTTTTTAAAATTCTCCAACTATTAAACTTGTAATTATTCTATTTTAAAAGCCTTGGATTTCTAAAATTCTTCACACAATTAACTATTTTTTAAAATTAATACTCCGTATTATTTTGGGATGTCAATTAAACAATAAACTATTTTGTTTTACTCGGTTTTAGTGTGGTTTTATAATTATAATGTATGCATTTTCTTTTTTTGTCGTAATCGTAGCATTATAAATTTTGTTGATAGGAAAGAATCCAAGTTTTTCTTCCAAAATTTCCCTTGGTAATATTCTATAAAACTCAAAATTACCTAATATAAAATTAAAATTAATTCAAATTAACAAAATATAAAAATAGTTTAATTCAAATTAAAAAAGATTATATGAAAGCCTCTTATAAAACTATAGAGTTAAAGAAATAATAATCACACCTTCTCGGCCTTTTGGCTAAGATCAAGTGTAGTACTAAATTTTTTTGGGTCATCCGCCACCTCTTTCCTATGACCTGAAAATGTTAAATATAAGGAGTGAGCAATCTCCTTTACTATAGTATATTTATTAGTTATCACAGGGCTCATCGATCTTCTTCTTCAATGATGAAGAGACAAGGATTCTTTTAACCAAAAAAAAAAAACTTTGAGGTCATCAAATTCATCTATGCGTAAACTCTAACACAAATTACCTATTTATCTATTTATTATGAATTTTTTACTAAAAGAAAATCTAATTAGACAATAATTATTAATATAAAAAATATTTATTAAGAATTATTAATATAAAAAGTATTTATTAAATGATATAAAAAGAGTTTTTATAAAAGAAAAAAAAATTTATAAAACTCTAAAATCTACTTAATAAAATTCAAATTAACCTATTTATCTATTTATTATTATAAATTTTTAAATAAAATAAAATCTAATTAGACAAGAATTATTAATATAAAAATATTTATTAATTGATATATAAAGTAAAATAATTTTTTTTCTAAAATTCTACAGCAAATTAGCTTTCTAGACAAGGATATATTTAAAGAAAATAAAATAATTTCTATTAAACTCTATCACAAATTACATATTTTATTTTTAATAAAACTCTATCACATTAGATAAAGATATATTTAAAGAGTTTCTATAAACTCTAACACAAATTATCTATTTATTATGAGTTTTTTAATAAAAGGAAATCTAATTACACAAGCATTATTAGGATAAAAAATTATTTATTAATTGATATAAAAAGAAGTTTGAAAAGAGTTTCTATAAAACTCTAACACAAACTACCTATTTATATATTTATTTTGAGTTTTTATAAAGGAAATCTAATTAGATAAGAATTATTAATATAAAAAATATTTATTAATTGATATAAAAAAAGTTTTTTAAAGTGTTTCTATTATACTGTAACACAAATTACCTATTTATTTATTTATTATAAATAGATTTCCAGAAAATAAAATAATTTCTATAAAAGTCTACCACAAATTATATATTGTATTTTCTTTAAAACTCTATCACATATAACCTGTATTTATCTATTTATTATGAGTTTTTTAATGAAAGAAATTTAATTAGACAATGATATATTTAAAGAAAATAAATATATATTTAAAGAAAATAAAATATTTTTTTTATAAGAGTTTATATAAAACTCTAATACAAATTACCTATTTATGTATTTATTATGAGTTTTTTAAAAAAAGGAAATATAACTAGACAAGAATTATTAATATAAAAAATATTTAATAATTGATTTTAAAAATAAAATAATTTTTCTAAAACTCTACCACAAATTACCTTTTATTATGAGTTTTTTAATATAAAAAAATCTAATTAGACAAGGATATATATATATTTAAAGAAAAAAAATAATTTATATAAAATTGTACCACAAATTACATATTTTATTTGTAATGAAACTCTATCACATTAGATAAGAATATATTTAAAGAGTTTTTATAAAATTCTAACACAAATTATCAAAACTTTACCACAAATTAACTATTTTATTTTTTTTAAAACTCTATCACGTATAACCTGTATTTATCTATTTATTATAAGTTTTCTAATAAAAGGAAATCTAATTAAACAAGGATATATTTAAAGAAAATAAAACAATTTATATAACTCTATCACATTAAACAAGGATATATTTAAAGAAAATATATAATAATATAATAATACATATAAATAAAATATAAATGTTAAAGAATTTGAACATTTCAGTATTTATTTTTTAATATAAAAAATATTTATTAATTAATATAAAAAGAGAACTCTATCACATATAAGTATATAACCCTTCTATCTATTTATTTATTATGAGTTTTTTAATAAAAGAAAATCTAATTTTACAAAGATATATTTAAATAAAATAAAATAATTTCTATAAAACTCTATCATAAATTACCTATTTTATTTTCTATAAGCTCTATCATATTAGACAATGATATATTTAAAGAAAATAAAATATAACCTATGATCTTCCAAAAATCACAAACTCTATATAATAAATTTTTATATCAATTTCAATCTAATGTATGATTAGTATAATTGAATTTCTATTTTAAAATTTAATTAAAAATTAATATAATTGAATTTCTATTTTAAATTAAAAATTATACTAAATTTAAAATTACCTAAAATAATTTGTTACTTTGCAAAACTCAAATATTTCACTATTAAAATTAAAAAATTATTAATTAATAAAAAATAAAATATAAATATTTCAGTATTAATATAAAAACCTAAAAGAATTTATTAATTTACGAAACTTAAACTTTAGCACCAATTTCAAAATATTTTAGTATTTATTTATTAATATAAAATAAATATTTATTAATTAATATAAAAAGAGTTACAAAAAATTGCAATTTGTTTGTAATGTTTATTTTTACAAGTTTTAAATCGATAATTAGAAAGAAAAAATATATATACGAAAACAAAAATTCTATAAGTTACAAAACATTCATCACGTGCATCGCACGTGCCTTTTCCTAGTATTATTAAATGTGTAGCTAAGGGCATTTTAGTTATAAATGTGTGAGTATGACCTATTTGCACAAATATCATAGTTTAAGGGCATTTTTTTGCACGTGAGGGGTATAATATGCATTATATGCATACTAGAAGGATGTTTTTTGCACTTGATCCATGAATATAAACTTAAGTCACACACAGTGGTGTGTGAGAGAGTCCATATATTTACTAATATATATGTTTCTTTCATTTAAAAATTTAACATTTTAATTTATTAAATATTTTTTGTTGAATTTTTTAATACTAAATATATTTTTATTGTGTGGTGGTGGCCTCTGCAATGGTAAATTGGGTATTGTTGCAAAATGGATAGTAAATGAACCCTAAAACTAGAAAAAGCTCATATAGATACCAACGAAGCATATAAATTAAAATACAATTACTTACCAGTGGTGCCCTTTACAATGGTGGGGTAACTGGTGGCGACAGCGGTCGGCTTGATGGGTAGTCTTTTTTCGCAGTGATTTAATAAGTAAACAAAAAGTTAAGAAAGAGACTGAGTCAATGGCTAGGTGAGATCGCGATAGTTTCGAACCGCCAAACCACAGGCCTCCACCGCACCACCATCCCCATAGCCGACGTCTTCCAATAGTGTCATTTTCGATCATTTTATAAAATGATTTATTTTTATATATTTTATAAAATGGTTTCGTAAGGGTAATTTAGTCAACGTATGGTTGAAATTTGTCAGAGGTACCTATTTGCACCATATTGAAACTTTAGAAGTGTTTTTTGCACAAGAGAGACATCCTCCAATAGTGTCATTTTCGATCATTTTATAAAATTATTTATTTTTATATATTTTATAAAATTATTTTATAAGGATAATTTAGTCAATTTATGGTTTAAATTTGTAAGAGGAATCTATTTATATTAAATTAAAATTTTAGAAATATTTTTTATATGCAATGAATGTAATATATACTGTAAGCATATTTTAGGATGTTCTATGCAAATAACCCTATATAAAATCAATCCACGGTCTTAAAAAAAGGGGCTTAGGAAGAGTGAAGGCGATGGAAGGGGAGCAAGCTGATGGATAGAGGGAGACTTATTATGGACCTATGGTAAGATTCTCTTTTCTTTGCTTTTTTGGAAGGTACTCATGGAAAGAACTGATCGCGTGTAAGTCATTTCAGTTTTTTATAATATTTTGGACTTAAATGAATAACTAAAAAATAATGATAAAATTGAAATTAGATTTTTTTTTTTTTTACCTTACGGTAAAAAAAAAAAAAAAATGCATTAATGCACTTCACTTTTTCTGGTTTGACTTTATGCTGTTGTGTCCTAGCTCAAAAAAAGGATACTGTAGTTGTTTTTGAATCCGAAGTTCCAAACACCTCCTTACAGCTCAAACAAATGGTGATCATTACATAGTATAGATACGAAATTGATAATTCTACACTAACGTTTTTCTTCTCGTAAAAAAAAAAAAAAAAAAAAAAAAAAAAAAAAAAAACCGCATTAATGCACTTCACTTTTTTCTGGTTTGACTTTATGCTGTTGTGTCCTAGCTCAAAAAAAGGATACTGTAGTTGTTTTTGAATCCGAAGTTCCAAACACCTCCTTACAGCTCAAACAAATGGTGATCATTACACAGTATAGATACGAAATTGATAATTCTACACTAACTTTTTCTTCTCTCTCTCTCTCTTTCTCATTACGTCAAAGGCTCTTTTTTCTCTCTCCCTCCCACGTGATTCAGCTGTCCTCCCTCTTATCTTTCTGCAACAACTGAGAACGCACTTGGTCAATATCCCAACTTTCTCTACAAAGGGCGCAAATCCTCTCCAGGGCACCTCTCACCGGAGAGGGTCCATTGAGGATCCAATGGCTATGATCTAGCCACTTGTTAAAATTATGCCACATTATCACTTACTCATCGCCAACTTAGCACAAAAATAAAAAAAATTTCTAAGCTACTTTTTTCTTTTAACCACATGTACAAATGACATATACAAAACATACTTATACCATACAATCTACCGTATATCTGCCTTCCATCTCTCTCTTCCTTTGTAACCTCTTCTAAATTTCTCTTTCCAAAATTAAAAACCAAAAACGAGATCTCAAACCTCTCACGCACAGAGAGGTGCAACCATGTCGAAAGTAGAGATAGAGTTCATCGTGGATTCAAAGGAGCACCATCTCTTCCTCTGTTGCTCTTCTAAACTTATTTTTTCAAAATTAAAGACCAAAAATGAGATCTCAAACCTCTCACACACACAGAGGTCCAACCATGACGGAAGTAAAGATGGAGTTCATCGTGGATTCAAATGAGCACAACCTCTTCTCTTGCAATGCGGTGATGCGTAAGTTTCGCGACACCAAGGCAAAGACCAATACCGATCTCAACCTTCCTGATCTCACCCTTCCTCTTCTCCTGGAATTCACTTAATCTAGCCGGAAATATCGTTGATGCCCAAATTGCATCATATGTTTCTTTTTTTCTTTTTCAAATAAAAAAAAAATCATAAAATAGCTAATATATATAATTAGGGAGAAAATCTAGAGAGAGAAAATTATATTTTTAATCATATATATTACGTTTTTAATGTTATATTATCTGTTTTTAATGGT